TGGTCTTGAGCCTGATGGTGGACTCGGGACAGAGACAGGCCCAGGTGGGCTGGGGATCATGTTTCTCAATGCTCTCCCTTCCTGCCATGTTCTCTCCCTGGTGCCCTCTCTGTATTCTGCAGCTCAAGCTGCCTCTCAGGAAAGCCTCAGATGTTGGGACCGGCAGATGGCGTAGTGGTGACATCACTGGATTCCCACAAGGTTGACCGCGGTTAACCCCGTGGTGGCTTCAAAATCATGCCAGGCACATGTGTGTAAGTGCGCAAGATCCCAGGAGGAAAATGGAGGAAAAGAGATTGCGGTGTGGCCATCCCTGCAGGGAGGTGATATCTCCCTCTTCCTCTCAGTGTCAGGCTCTCTCTCTCTCCAGGAATGCACAGCCCTAAGACAAAAACCTAAAAAAAAAAAAAAAAAAAAAAAAAAAAAAAAAAAAAAAAAAAAAAGCACCCTATAGTGAAAACCTCTCAAAAAAAAAAAAAAAGAAAGAAAGAAAGAAAAAGAAAAAAGTCTCAGATGTCAGTTACTTACACCTTTTCATGTCATTGAATCAATGTATGCTCTCTCAAAAGTATATATACTTTGGTTTAAATAATTAAAGCTCATAGTGATGAAACTTTACTAAAAGCCAATCAGTAATGGAAGAACTTTGCGTATCTCATTTAATGCTTACAATCATTCTATGAGGTAGAAAAACCATGACTTAATTTTTTTTTTCCCCCGTGGGCAATTTTCAGCTGAGAATTTGCCCCAGATCTCACAACTTTTAAAAGTGGTCAGACTTCAGAGTCTGAGCTCTAAATTAACATTATCAATGTAACATCTAAATGATCAGAGTGGCAGGCATCTGACCCAGTGGGGTTTCCCTGAAGGCTTAAACCAACAAGATTTGAGTTCTGGTAACATTCCCACCTTAACAGTCACCTCTTATACCAGGGTACTTCAACATGCGTGTGGAAAACTGGAAGTGAGTTTATTCTGGTGCAAAGATATTTAGAAATCCATGCATATTATGATATGCATTTCCATAAGCTTTTTTTGTTTGTTTGTTTGTTTTTTTGGAGAGGTTTTTCGCTATAGGGCACGTGCGCTTGCCAGACAGACAGAGAGAGACATAGAGACAGAAAGCAAGAAGTCACCCCCGGGGCGGATGGTCACGCCGCAATCCCTTCTCCATTCTCCTCTTGGGATCTTGGGCACGCACGCACATGCGCCCAGCATGAGTTTTAAGCTACCGGGTCCGGGACATGAACCGCAGTCGACTACATGGGAGTCCAGTGACATAGCCATTACGCTAACTGCTGGTTCCCTCCATAAGCTTTTTGACGACCCTTTGCATAGGAATAGTGATTCTGCTATGAAAGCTAGCTGGTAATTTCAGCCCTATGCCCTGACCCTTTAACTATTTCCAGAAAGAGTAGCCTAGAACTACCCAGTCTTCACCAGAGAGAAAAAGGCAAGAAGGAAGCATAATCTGGTGTCCAGGATCTTGCCCGTCGCAGCAGACTCACTTCCAAGTCCAACGTTTCCCTTTCAGCAGGTAAACTAAAAGCAGGAGAGATCCCATAGCATCTGTCAGGTCTGAGAAGCATGAATAAGAGCATGTACCATATTCCAAACAGAGGAACACTTGTCGAGACCCTGTAAGGTAGCAGGCTGCTGTGCAGGATGAATATAAGGCAAAGGGGACCAGCAGGTGGTGTGGTTAAGGCACTGGACTCCCACATGGCGAACTACAGTTCAAATCCCAGACCTGATGGCTTGAAAATCACACTAGGCACATGTGCATGAATGACAAAATCTGGAGAGGAGAATGGAGGAGAAGGGGTTGTGGAGGGGGTCATCCTTCCTGAGGAGTGATTTCTCACTCCCCCTCTCACTGTTTCTCTCTGTCTCTCTCAGGTGTCTCTCTCTGGTTAGTGCACTCATCCTATGCACAAAACCAAAAAAAAAAAAAAAAAAGTTGCATTGGTTTAATTTTTTTTTTTTTTTCAACTTCAGAGTTCACTGAAACCCAAGACCTTTCAGTTTAACCATACAAATAGGTCTTGGCAAGATAAAACCAAAGGAAACACAGCAAAAACTAATGAGGGAAATGAAGATTTTGTGTCTTGAGTGTCTGATTTTTCAAGGTTGAAGATAAAAGGACAAATTCTTTGGGGCTACTGGCAGAGAACACCAGCTGCTGGGTGGGCCACAAACTAAGCCCAAAAGTAGGAATGCAGTGCCCTTCTATTCCCTCTCAGAGGGGAGTGGGGAACTAGAACCAGGCCTTTCTTGATGCTCAGAAGGAAACGTCTTCTACTACCCTGTCTGGTGCCTGTTGGAAAGTTCTGCCTGTGAACCTAATCCCCAGGGACATTCCCAGGACACCTGATCCCCAGTGGGCACTGCTCTGGAGAGCATGGAGGGAGCTCAGATTACACTGTGTTTAAAACTATCCCCAAAGGGCAAACACAGAGTTTGACACAAGCTCTAACTTTGACAAAGCCACCAGGACCACTGGAGCCCTTGACATGTCACTCAATGAAGGCTGGAACTTTAGCTTAATTCCCAGGCTTGAACGCTGTGGCCTGCCAGTGTCTAGATGAACAAATGATCTCAAAGAAACAACATCGTTATGGCTTCAGGGGCAAGTTCCTATCTACTCTCTGAATCCTGTCATGCTTCACCCTAATGTTACCAACGTCTCAGAGAAAAACAGGAGAGGTAGATGAATTCTACTAATTCTTAGGCCTTGATGGCTGCTCCAGAAGCGGCCTCACCCTTTGGATTTCCATTGTTATTTACACAGTCTAGTGAGGGAGGCAGGTGCACTTGGTCCTTCCAGTCAGCATTGCATAGAGCTGCGCAAAGGTGAATTCCGATGACCCTGCTCTGCCTCTGTACCTCCATTTACAAATCAAGGGTAATGTCTTACTGCACTTCTTTCATGGAGCATATATATTTTTGTTGCTGTTACTTTGATTGCTTATTTGTTTAAACAAAAAGAAAACCCCAGAGATTCTTCAGTTTTTTTGTTTGTTTTGCTAATTTGGTATGGGGTACATGTGCTTGCCAGAGAGAGATAGAGAGAAAGAGATGAGAAAGAGAGAGAGAGAGAGAGAGAGAGAGGAAGCGCTCCCCAGGGGGGACAGCCACACCACAATCCTCTTTCCTTGGAACTTTGGGCATTCACACATTTATGCTAGGAGTGTCCCCAGGTAGCCCGGACTTGAACCAACCAGTCAACCAAGTGGGATTCAGCCTCATCAACCAACACACCATAAGCTGGCCCCAAGATTTCTATGTATTATACATGCTCCTATTCCTTTGGGCTTTACTATTACACTATCTGGCAGTATATAGTTTTTATTAAAGTAAAAATATTTAGAAAATTTAGAAGCAAAGCTGTATCTAACATTCTGATAAAGACAGATGAACTTCTTTTATTGCCGTTTCTACCACCGCAGTAAAAGCCTGAGTGAAAAGCACTCAAAAAATGTACATCCATGGGAAAGCTGTGTGCCCTTAGCCAGAAACTGGTATGCATAGGTGACACTGGAGGGCAAATCCGTGTCCTTCAAGGAAAAGCAGACTTGAACTGGCCCCAGGTGGCTTTGCAATACCTCAGTTTTGACATCTAGAAAACAAGAATACCTGACATCTTCTCTAACGATCTTTCCAGCTCTAAAATATTATCATTAGTTCATTATTTACAGATACTCTACCTCGTATAAGGCACAATGAAAACTGATTATGGAAAAGAGTGATGAAAACCACACATACATACAAAGGTAAAGAGATCCAAGCACAACTGATATATAGATACAGTTTGAAATGACTAAACCATCCTCCCGATCCTTCAGGCCATGGGTCACCAGAACAGACCTGCATGCACAGGTACTGCATAACCCTTGGCACCTCCAGAGTACTGCGGGGCACCACGGGAGCAAAAGGGTCAAGGCAGGAATAGGGACGAAGGTGCCTTTGATAGTGCCCTTTAAAGATGCATAGATGGAACCCATTCTGATGGTAGAGATGACCAAAATAGTCAGGGTAAGAGGATATTGGATGAACTGACTATCATAAATTAGTCATTGGCACAATAAATAATACTTGATAAATGTTAACTCTTGTTGGCTTGACAGACGGAAGAAGGAAGGAAAGAGAAAGAAAGAGGAAAGGTAAGGTTGTCCAGTGAAACTGCTGAGCTAGAGTGTGAGGTTTAAGTCAACTTGGGGATAATAGTTTGGAAAACAGTTTCAAACTACAGAGCAAAATATCATACGCTGCATATATATACCTAACAAACAGCTGTTGTTCATATCATTGTTATTAAAGTCTGTTATTTGTTCTTAAATATTCCGAATATAAAGTAGACTATAAGCCCAATGTTCCCAGATGAATGCTAGAGTCTCTATCACATCTATCATGGCTACTAATTAAATATAGCAATATTAGAACAAGCTTTACTGCTCCTTTGAAATATAATTATTGCATACTGTGTATCAAAAGAAAAATCAAATGCATTCCCTTGAGAAGGAGACAGTCAGCTCATGAAGCCAGCAACTCACCTGTGACCTGGGTCAAGATGACCTTATCTGTAAACACAGGGGGTTAAGCCAGGGGACTTCAAGGGCCCCTCCTAGTTCACATTTGATCATAAATTGCACATGTGCCTAGTCGATATGAATAACTGATCAGTGGTACTCACATCTCAATATAAGACATGGACCGGTAAGAGAGTTCTTAGAAATTCTTAGTAACTAATTTCCGGGGTGATTAACTCCTACCATTACAAGGAAATTCATCTACAAAGGTACACCAGCTAAGAATGTGGCACAGTCTGCCAGCATACTACCAATCCTCGAAAAAAGTCTTCTTGCTTCTCACAGATACGTGTTTAATATCTTCCAAAGAGTAAACTCAAGAGGTCTCCTCAGGACTTTGAAAATCCTTCTTCTGTAACAATAGGAAGATGGACTATTGAAAAACAAAGAAGAATCTTGTGGACATTAAAACTATCTTCTTTGGAGCAAAGGACTGTGGGACTTGTGGTGTTCCCTGCCATGTGGATGCTCAGCTGTCCATCTGGACCCAGTTGCTGAGGCTTCTCCCTCACTCTCCTCTCCAGATTCAAACTCTTCATCCACTGCATGGAACAATGGCTTGGGTCTCACAGCTGCCCTCCTGCCTCTGCCAATGTGCTCTTCTTGGCTCATGCTGTTTCTATGACTGAGGTTGATCGGCTTGCCTCCTCTGTGCAAGCTCTTCATTGGGATGATCTCTTGTGTTAGTCGTCTCTCCTGGAAGGACCCAGTTTGGGGGGGTGTGCTGAACCTGATGGATGGAAATCCTGGATCGCTGCTATCATCCTCTGGAAAACATCATGACAAGGAGGGGATAGAACAAGACTTAAGATCAGGGTTAAGACTTAGTATCCAGATGGCAGTAATTCAGAGTGAAGCAGAGCCCATTCTGAGATTCCGGCCCTTACACTCAACTTTACTATCTGGTGATTTTCCCTTTTCAAGGTCACTCTCCCAAGTAGACAGTGGGTAAGGGACACAGAAACTAGTTGTGCAGTATTTTAAGTAAATAAAAATGGATGGACAAATGCTGTGTGCCAAGCCATTCTCTCCCAGGTAAGTAAGGTAATGTCTTTTTATAAAATCATTATCCACTGGCCATAGACAAAGGCCTCAAGGCACAAAATACTTTGTCTTGTCCAAGGCCAATGCTAAATTGAAAGTTATATGATATTGCCACAGGAAAGTGGTTGATTTTTATCTTATTTATTTATTTATTGTTTTTTGTTTGTTTGTTTTTAGGTTTTTGCCATGGGGCATGTGCACTTACTGGAGAGAGGCCGAGAAATGCAGAGGGAGGAAAACGGGGAATGGCCACGCCACAATCCCTTCCCCTCCATATTCCTCCTGAGATTTTGGACACACACACATAGGCCTAGCATGATTTTCAAGCCACCAGGCCCTGGACTCAAACTGCTATCAGCTATGTGGGAATCCAGTGCCTCAACCACCATGCCACCCACTGGCTGCTCGTGGTTTGTTTTAATCAGTGGTTATCAGAAATATAATATTATATTGAAGTTTTATCCCTTTGATCTTGAAAAAGCCTATCTTGGGGAAACAGAGGGATAAAGGAGCCACAGCAGAGAGCAGGGTATGACTGGATGTTCGCCTATCAAAGGAATAAACAAGTGAGCAGACTAGTTGATAAGATGGTAATGATAACTTCCATCTGTGAAGAACTTACTATGTGCCCATCACTGTGCTAATCAGTTCTGGTATATTATTTCCTTCCATTTCACAGTGGTTCTACGAGATCAGATCCTCATATTGTAGGTAAAGAAGATGAGCTTCCCCAGATTAAGGGAACCTTCACTACCACACAGCTGGGGAAGATGGGCTTGGAGTTTGAGCAAGGCCCATCCGGTTGTGAATCCACTCTCTGCTCTCAGGCCAGTGCTGGTTCTTTTGCACATCTTGGTCAGGAGGAGATGGCTATATCATGAGAGAAGTCACAGGGCATTTATGGAACGCCCCCTCTCAGAGGATCTTCAAATGCTTCACCTATACTAGGTCCTTGCCTTTTCCCTAGTTCAATGCACACATGCCTTTGAATAAATATTTTTCACAAATCTCATTTGTTTTTGTTTCCTCAATTATAACCTTATAAATTTATTTTCCCTTTAAGTATTCTGAGAATTACGTATTTTTAGACATTTATATTGAAATCAGAAAGTATATTCTTTCTCCCATTCCCTACTTTGTCCTAAAAAAAAAAAAAATATCCCAGCATTAGAATGAACATTCACAAAGGTTTATACTTGATAAGATATGTTTAGAATGCGGGACACCAGGAAATCTTAAAATACTCTTCGATAATGTTTTTCCAAAATGTGACCAAATTATCCTACAAAGGTAGCTTGGAAGTTGGGTGGTTGGGAGTAACAACTGCTTTGAATAAAGAGAACAATGTTAGTTTATGTGAATACTTCAAAAAGTCCATGGGAAAACAGAATTAAAGTATAAGTCTATTTTAGTGCAAAAAATGTGAAATCCACACATAAAGATTTCCATAATACATGTTTGATGAACTTGTAGAAGAACTCTTGTATTTGTCCATTTTTTTTTTTGTGACTTCCCTTTAATTAGAGCTTTTTGACTGGGCCTGGGCCAGAGTTCCTTCTGATCCTTTGCCACTGAGGATACTCCTAAGATGCTTCTGCCCCACAAACCCTGCTCCTTCTCTCCCTGTGCCTGTTCCCCATCCATTCACAGGTTCTAACTGTGGCTTCCCGACCACCTTCTAGGTTACTATAAAGTGGGATCTAAGCACTAGAAGCAGACTCGAGTATGTGACTGGCAGATTTCCATGCAATTGAAGTGACTGGATCTGCCCAAAATTCATGGAAGAAGTTGGCTGGGAAGCAGAAGAGGGAAGAAGGAAGCGTGCAAACTGTGCTTTGTCCTTCTTCACATTACACAATCCTCCTGCCCGTGAACATTCAGGCAGCACAGTTCCAGGGAAGGAGCTGTGGACACCTCTGCTACGAAATCTGAGCGCCTGTTCTTCTCCCTTCCACCTGACTGACAGCCTTCACTTCTGGACCTGGGCACCCAGGGGCAGGCAGAGCCTAACACCCACAGAATTGTCGAAAATGTGCTCTTCTGACTCCATATACACTGTTTAGAGATGCAGCTCAACGTGCAACCCTCACTCCTGCCTCCTCACACACATTATTTTAAATTGTGGTGAAATATTCCCAACATAAAAGTGACCACTGTAAGCACTGTTTTCATTTTAACTATTATTGTGATGTCCAATTCACTGGCAGTAAGTGCATGCACATGGTGCATCTATAACCAGAGCTTTTTCATCTTCCCCAGTTCATGTCAATTTTAGGCTGTCTCAGGACATTGGGGGCGCGTTCTATGGGAGATCTTTTCACTTATAACACCAAGTGAACCCCAAAGGCAAAGAGTATATGGAGTCTTCCAAAGCAGTGTGGAGCTTTTGCACGTTCAGTGCAAGAGCTCTGCTGACCCTGGTGAGCAAGGAATGAGCTAGAAAGGAAATGTTCTCCCGGTATCCATCTGGCTAGCTGGGACTATGGTTGGACGGACATCGCACTCCACAGTCTCCCCTAGAGACCCTCTGCCACCTCCTGACCTTCTCCTGCAGAAAGACTTAAGGTTTGTAGAGAAGTTGAATTCCAATAATCACTGTATCTAGCCATACCCTGAGGACTATCTCAGTTTCACCCTGATCCTTGAGAACTTACAAAGGATAACTAACTGGTACCATTATTTTTCCTTCGGAGAGTTCTAGTTTAACCTAGATGAAATTTAGAATCAATTAAGCACATATGAAAGAAAAAACATTCACTGGGATTAAGATTTTACTCATGGGAACCAGCAGTTAGTGTAATGGCTATGTCGCTGGACTCCCATGTAGTCGACCGCGGTTCGTGTCCCGGACCCGGTGGCTTAAAACTCACGCCGGGCACGTGTGCGTGCGTGCCCAAGATCCCAAGAGGAGAATGGAGGAGAAGGGATTGCGGCGTGACCATCCCCCCTGGGGGGTGATTTCTCGCTTTCTGTCTCTATGTCTCTCTCTGTCTGCCTGGCGAGCGCACGCGCCCTACAGTGAAAATCTCTCCAAAAAAAAAAAAAAAAAAAGATTTTACTCATGTCTAGATTAATTCATGTAGAACTAACCTTTTGAAGCATTGTCCTCCGTTTAAGCACTACTATACCTACCCATGTCAAGTTTTCTTGAATCTCCCTCAATAGTAACAACAAGAATGACTAATATTTTCTCAGAACTGTTTGACTTATGGCCCTGTTCTAACAGTTTTATGTACCCCGTTTATGAGTTACCTTGTATGACTGGCTTTACTTTTGGACAATATTGTCGTGTGTAGGAGGTGCTAATATTATTTCCTTACAGAGAGGAAACAACAGCATGGAGAACAAAAATTTTATTTTTTTCTTCACATAAATCACCTATGTATATTTTCCTGGCATTTTACGGCTTTTACTTATGAATGAGATGCCCTTTAGTGAGGGTATCTATTGAGAAGATAGAAGTCTTAAACCTATTAATTTGGCGAATAATATAAATACATTCAAAATGTTAAACAATCGCCAACATCCTGGAATAAACTCCACTTTGCAAGGTGTATTGTTTAATGTTCTGCTGTATTTTATTATTTATATTCATATAAGATTCACACATTGTTCAAGTGAGTCGGCTCTGTTGTCATCTGCAATCTTAGTGGTATGATACTGATGTTCAATTCATGAGAAGTAACTGTGAGACTTCTTTCCTGCTCACTTAAACAACGTAAATAGTGCTGGATTATTTGTGCCAGAAAATATTTTATTTTTATTTTATTTTATTTTATTTTTTTTGGAGAGGGTGGCCCTGCAGGGTGCGTGCGCTCGCCAGACAGACAGAGAGAGACATAGAGACAGAAAGCGAGAAATCACCCCCCAGGGGGGATGGTCACGCCGCAATCCCTTCTCCTCCATTCTCCTCTCGGGATCTTGGGCACGCACGCACATGTGCCCAGCGTGAGTTTTAAGCCACCAGGTCCAGGATGCAAACTACGGTGGACTACGTGGGAGTCCAGCGACATAGCCATTACATTAACTGCTGGTTCCTGTGCCTGAAAATATTTTTAAAAATTAATCTATAATACACCCTTGATCTATCTGGTGCTCACTTGTTTTGTTTCCCTTACTTTTGTTTGTGGGATATCTCACCAATGACCTAAAATAATACTAGTTCCTACAGTGCAGTCTGGGAATGGATGATTAGATCAATAACATGGCATTGACAGTCCAAAACCCTCTCTTCAGGATAAATTACTATAACGAAGGTGGCATTTCACCTTGCAGGGACAAGAACATTTGAAAATAGTCTGAAGTGCATCTCTGTCTTAATCCTTACACAATGATGAAGCTCAGATGGATTGAAATTTACCTGGGAAAATTAAACTATTTAAGTTCTAGATGAAAAAAAAAAGAATAAATCATCCTCTAATTTTTCTGTGGTATATATATATATATATATATATAAAGTTATGTGTAAAACAGAGAAAAATCACTGGTAACATACAGGAGAGGAAATTAATGGTATCCTTACTATATAGAGTTCATCTGTCACTTAAAGTAAATCAATGACTAAATAGAAAAAAAATAGACAAAGGTAGAAACAAAAGATTCTCCAAGAGAAATATAGGTATAGCCAAAAAATATGAAAAAATGTTGAATCTCACTAAAAATCAAAGAGATTCCTATAAAAATTAAACATGACAGAAATTTTGTGGCATCATAGCACAGAATGTTCAAAGGTTTGACCACTGTCTCATGATGGTGAAGGCGATGGGAAAAAACTACCCTCACATACTTTTGGTATAAGGGTAAGTTAGTGACATAATCTTTTGGGAGGGTATTTTGGAAAAGTATGTAAAAGTTGAAGCATGGGGTCAGCAGGTAACATGGTGGTTGAAACACTGGACTCCCACATGTTCACGTCCCAGACCTGGCAGCTTCCTTCCTCAGTTTCTCTCCGTCTATCTAGTGAGCATATGTACCCTATAGCAAATAAAAAATAATAAATAAAATAAATAATTCTTATTTTTAAAAAAGCTTAAGTGTATGTGATTTTTAACCTTCAAATGTTACTTTCAGGAAAATCTACTGAGGGAATAATTGGTTATGTGTGCATAAATCAATCACAAGCAAAACAGGACACTTATCATGCATCACTGTTTATATTTATTAAAAATCATAAATACTTTTAAATTAGAAGTTAGCTAGAAAAGTTATGATACTTCTATATAATTGTTATTCAGTCATTAAAAATAAAGAGTAGATTAATACCTATTGACATGGAAATATGTCAACCACATGTTGAATGAACTAGGCAATATATGAAAATTACAAAACAATGACGATGCTTTATTTCATGTTATACTATGATGCTGTTTTCATGATTTTTAAAAATTGTTTATGGGTAGGGACCAAGAGAAAGGAGAAATAAAATGTTATATGTTATATGATGATTATATGTGGATGTGAGGGCTTTCAATCTTTTTGACTTGTTTTTCCTATGCTTCTCTACTAATTTTATATCAAAAGCATGTTTTTAATCAGAAACAAATTTATTATGAAAAATAATTATACGTGATTTTCAAAGATTTAATTATAAAATCCCACATGTTTATTTATTTATTTAGTTTTTATTTTTGGAGAAGTTTTTGCTATAGGGCATGTGCGCTTGCCAGAAAGACAAGAGACAGACAGAGAAGCGAGAAATCACCACCCAGGGGGGCTGACCACACCCCAATCCCTTCTCCTCCATTCTCCTCTCAGGATCTTGGGCACGCACGCACATGAACCTGGTGTGATTTTTAACCACTGGGTCCCGGACTCAAACCACAGTCGACTATGTGGGAGTCCAGTGACATAGCCTTTACGCCAACTGCTGGTCCCAACCACATGTTTAGTTTACTTAAATTTCCAATGTAATGAAGGATTAAAAAGCTAAGAAAATCAAAATAAGTAACTTGGCATATCGGGTATGATACACTACCTGTTGAGAATAAAAAATTATTTATGCATACATTTAAAATTAGTTGCTTGGCTTTCATTAGCATAATAAGCAGTTTTGATTAATTTTTAAATTTTCACTTAAAAATTCAGTATTAAATGGGAAACACTGAATCAGTAAATTTGATGAGATCATTCTAGTGAAACCTAACCAGTTTTGCTCATGTTTAAACTGTGGATTGACTCCACAACTTCAACATAGCACCCCTTTTATTTTTCTTTAAAACAAGGGTCAGCAAATTGTGATCTTGGGCTATATTGAGCCTGCTACTTCTTTTCTAGATGGCCTGTGAGCTATCAAAGGTTGTTACATTTTTAAATGACTCAAAAAAAAAAAAAGATAATATAAGGGGGCTTCAAAAAGTCTGTAGAAAAAGTGGAATTAAAATATGTGTTTATTTTCATACAAAAGAAATTTGGAATCCACGCGTCATTTTTTCATAATACATATTTTCCATAAACTTTGTGAAGACCCCTCATATTTCACAAGTCAAAATGATATGAAGTTCAAGTTTGCATGTCCATAAATAAAGTTTTGACTTTCACCAGTAAAATAAGTTGTCTCTTCTTTTTCTTGTCATAATGCTTTTGGTTTTGCCTTTTGGCAGAGTGGCCAAGCACGCAGGTTACCTGTGAACTCAGCAGCCCTTGCGTCTCTGCTCGATGGCTGAGGGTTGCTGTGGGGAAAGGAGAGGTAGCGGATGTTTTTGGTGCCTGCCTGTTGGTAACAAGTAGAAAAAAAAAAAATTAGCTACTGTGACTGGGGGCTTCACACGGCATGCATCAGTAGTCCATTTGTGTTGACCATGGAGTAGTTTTCCAATGTATGGATATACCACATGTTGTTCACACACCACAAATGTTGACAAGTGCTTAAATTGTTTCTAGTCTTTGTCTGTTATAAATAAAGTCATCATATATATTCACGCACAAAAAGAGGGGGAAAAAAGAATAGAGCTTCACATAGCAAAGAGGGGGAAGAACATAGACTTATCCTCACATCTTGTTTAGATGACTGGCTTTGGGTTACTTTTGTTTAAAGAAAGCAGAACACTTAGTCTTTGATGTGCATTTCCATTACGTCTCATGACATAACAGATCATGATGAACCTCCACAGTTAATCTTCACTGGGATTAGGGTCTGCTCCAGATCAAACCTCTATCCAGAAGTCCTAGTAAATTGGTTCCAGTCAGCCTCCAATGGGAAGAGTGCAGGTGCACAGTGAGTGATGGGAAGATGAGGCCCAAGAATCTTACAAGAGCAAATCATAAATCCCTCCCTGTAGTTTCCTGGGAGAGAAGTAGGTTTCCCAGGGCCAGAGGGTCTGGTTTGTGGAGGTCCCCTGGAGAGTTCTAGGGTCTGGGTATGGAGTCAAAGCCCAGTGGGAGAGTTGGTTGCCATGCATCCCTGGGCAGATGCGTCAGGTTCCTTAAGCCCTGGGTTCAGAGAAAGAGGTTGCTTTGGCATCCTACCCTCTCTTGCTTTCCCGTCTTTCTGGCAACATGATGGAGTTTTTAATTGCTTGAGGGTGGTAATATCCCCGAGGCCCTGTGCAGAGACAGGCCCAGTCATCAGGAGATACATGTATGCACACCAAAGGAACATGCCGTGGCTACAGGCCCCACTTACCGGCTTTCCCCAGGGCAGGCTGTGGCCCTTCCTCATGCTCTCCCTTAAGGTGTTCTGGCGGCGGATCAGGATCTCTTTGGCCTGCCTCTCACTCGTTTGGGGTCTGAGGTTGTATTTATTGTAGGATAGTGTCTGCAACAAGAATGGAATGTCAACCAGGTAGACTCCTCTAGTACAACTTGCTGCCTCAGGAGGCCATGGAAACATCTGGAACCTAAGGCTGTCTGAATGTTTGCCTCCGTTGCAGATGAGCCAGCAAGCTGCAGGCCTCGAGAGTCTGTTCCCCGGAGATCACGCTCTGGGTGGAGCTGTGGCTGGAGCCTGTGCCTTCTGCTCTGTTGTCCTTGCAGTTCTCCCCCATCCCGCCCCAGACCAGACAACCACACATTTTTTCTGCCCCATACACACACTTGGTCATGTTTTCTCTGCCAGGTCAGTAGTTCCTGGGCATTTAAATTTAATGAATAGAGAAAATAGCAAAACTACTTTAAGAATTTCTATGGGTTTTGCTGCCTTTAAATGTTGCCATTTATAGGTGCATACATACAGATCAATCCATTTCTATCAATCCATCAATATGGTGAGGAAAAGGTCTATGAACCAAAGTGGTAGAAAGGACGTAATCTCAGGTTAAACCTGAGGTTTAAAAAAAGGTTAAAAAACAAAATCAGTCCATCAGATGGAATCTTTCTAGCTTCATGTACTATGTCCTCTTTGTCCTCAACCCACTTGTCATGGCCCATAGGTCAACAGCAGTCTTCAAACAGATATTTGCAAAGTGCTGAACTGGGATTTCTTTCTCCCTTATTGATCATTTGGGTTCACTAGGAAATGCCCATTCTGCCCCAGGTCAGGAAGTAGCTCGTGCCTGCACTGATAAACCCCCAGTCCTGCTGGATAGTAGGATCAGAACTGCAGGGGCTGGCCCCGTGGACAATGAATGCCTTAACAAAAGTAGGTAGTTCAACTGCAGTAGAGCAAATGTTCTATGTATCACGTGCCATTAAAGGCAGGATCAGAAACAACGAGTATATTAGAATTCTGGTCTTCAAAAGGCTTACAGGCTTTTTTTTTGGGGGGGGGGTCAGACACATAAGGGTGTAATGTCACATGCTCAGGTGCGCGAGACACTGCATCTGCAGGGGCTTCGGTTGTACGGGCAGAGGACGCAAGGTCCAGTCTTGTGTGGGAAGGGTTCTCTTACTGCACTGAGGTGTTATTTGACGAGTGGGTGTTAACCTGGGAATAAATTCTAGGACAAGGGAACAAATGAGTTTAGGGAGCTGTTACCCAACTTGGGACGGGAGCACTGGCAAAATGCAGCAAATGTATTTATCCCAGGAGAAAGAAGCACCACTGTGTGGTGAGAGGTAAGGCCAGAGGGGCATGGAGCGGGATGTGATGAGGACAGAGGCTCCACCCTCCAGGCCGGCTCTCTAGGATTGAATACCTACACTCCAAGGAGGCCACCCTGGGCGTGCCAGGATCACACGTGTGCCTGCGATCCGGGCTGGCTGAGACTGGGGACACGTTGTAGCCCGAAGATCCAGCTGGGGCTGTCTTTCTCTCTCTTTTCTCTCCTTATCTTTCTCCTTCTGCCTCCCTCTTGGAAGAAATAAACTCTTGAGAGTTTAAAAAAATACCAAAGATTAAGCTTTATTACAATAGTATTTAATATGCGGCTTTATGATGGGCCCTCACGTGGTCCCTACGTGAGATGGTGACATTTCTGTCAGAACAGATGTGGGTGTCAGTAACAGCACAGAGAATCGACAACAGCGCTGTTTCATTGGCTTTCTGTTTAAGTAGATTTTGGTTTTTAATATTTCTGAACCAAGCAAATCCTTATGAAGTAGAACTCTCCAAAAGTAGCTCCATAGAGGAGGCATGACCTGTAGGCCAAGGAAACAGTGAGGAGGGGCCAACACCAACATCCTTCTCTGACACGAGCTATTTATCAACCACTTCTGACAGATTAATTGATCTGACAAGAATTCAGAAAAAAAAAAAAAGAGTTGTGAGGACAATTTAAGATACAGATTGTTATCCACCATCACTAATGGTGAACCTTAACTTAAGTGCATTTTGTGCACTGAAATATGAGAGGATGGAAACTAATAAATAATTTAGTATCCAGAATATGGGGGCAAACTGTTGTTTTATTTCATTTTATTTTTTTTTTTAGCAAGAGATTTTTGCTATAAGGATCACGGGCTTACTGGAGAGAGAGAGAGAGGAACAGACAGAAAGCCAGAAATCACCCCCCGAGGGGATGGCTACAATGTAATACCTCTTGGGATTTGGGGCACACACACACACACACACACACACACACGCACACACACACGTGCCTTGCCTGAGTTTCAAGCCATCGAGTCTGGGACTCAAACTGCAGTTGGCCAGGTGGGAGTCCAGCAATCTAATCATTACACCATCTGCTGGTCCCCACACAGTTACATTTTAAAATCAATGTTAAAGTTGTGCAAAACTGAATTCCGCCTGTGTGTGTGTGTGTGTGTATGTCGCTAGGAGGAATTTCCTACTCTCGGGGAGAGGCTGTGCTTTAAGGAACACTGGGTGACTTGGTCTTCCGCCTGACCTCACAGTCCGTCACCCGTGGTCTGTACTGCAGGGCGCAGGGAGTATAGACAGTCCTGTGCATCTAGTCAATATGCACGTGTACCCTTCCCTTCCCCTGTTTCCACCCTTTAATGCAGGAATCAGAGATGAGTTCAAGCCTGCATTTCCCACTGAAGCTTGGGCTCTGCGGGAGAAAAGGCTTTGTATTATTCGGTGCAGCGTTCCTAATACTTGGCTGGTTCTACTGGGGCCTTGTTTGGGGTGCCTGTCTCTCTGCATCTCTCTCTCTCTCTCTCTCTCACAAACATGCACACACAGAGGAAATAAATAAATGAGAAATAAATGTTAAAAAGTAAAAGCAGAGTGAATGTGTGGTTGCCCCAGGTTACGAATTCAGAATACTTTTTCCTCCCAGGGAGTAAGAGGACCGTGATACAAGAGAGGACTCGCATGACCTCTATAAGGTTGGGGTCGAGAGAAAAGCACATGGAGGGGTAGGGGCTTATTCTCAAAGTTACAGAGGTGGAGGCCAGTGCTGTAGCTCCCCTGTTCATCAATTATAGTCTCTTCACTGGGCTCCCCATGGTGCTCAGCAGAAACCCATCAAACGAAAGGAGGCCCATGTGCTTAAATTTGGGTGCAGTAAGCAAGGGAGATGCCGAATAGCTCAGAGGAAGAAAGGGGGAGCATCCAAGCACAGAAAGTCAGGGGAGGAGGGCCTCACTGCAGATTGTGACGTCCTGGGTCGCCAGCTCCATTTATGACCTTTCCCTGAGTTCTTCAGTGGCGTGGGGAAAGGCTGAGCACCAGGTGCAGGCCCTGGCCCTCACTAGCCTAGCCACATTCTTCAAACCAGGAAGTTCTTATCTATTTATCCAAGGCGGGATGTGATAGTTCCACTGAAACAGTTTCACTTGGAAGGATCTGAAAGCCTTGGAATTTACTCTAAGAGCATTATGATTCGTGCTGGCCCGTGTGCCTTTCACTGCCTCCTGACCCTCAGCGTCCACTGTTCTGAAACAAGCAGCCAACAGCACTCACTTTCACTGGCCTATGTCATGAGTCATGGAGAGAGCACTGGGCCGGTGGCTGGAAGCCTGCATTTTAACCTGGGTTTGTTGGGTGACCTTGAGCAAGTCAGACAAGCAGCCTTGCTAACCTCAGCCTGTTCTACTTGCAAATGAGGAGCTTTGACTAGATTTATATATTTTTTTTAATTCTATGAAAACTATGATCCATGACATAGTCACAAACTGAAGACCTTCACAGTGGATTTACCCCAGGAATTGGGGTGAGCAATTGGATCTTTACATTTGAAAAAAGGCAAATGAGAAATGATGAGATAACACAGGTTGAAATTTGATTTAGTATCTCAGACTCATCCACTGCCCGCTCAGAGAACATTTCTAGGGGCAATGGGTAAGTTTTTCTAAAAGTTCTTAGTGTATGATTTGGACTAGTTGCTGAGAACTGGGATAGATTCCGAAACTGAGAAAGAAGATGCCTAATATGTCTCCTTTTATTCCGGCTTTCAGCATTATACTTTCAATATTGTAACCCAAACTCTCTAAACCTCTAGTCAATGTAACTGAAGCAATTCAACTGTCATCTGCATCCTGGGACAGCTTAGGGTTAGGCTTAGGGTTAGGGACCAGGTTCCTTGCTCCCAGGCAGGTGAATGAGCTCCACCACTTGCCTGTCTGGAGGAAGGAGACCTGCTAGTTCAAGAACGCACCGAGCTGCAGGGCTAGGGCAGCCTGACCCCTAGAGTCAGTGCCTGGATTTGCATTTATTTTTATGCCACAGGTTCCCATTTTGCAGCAGAAACGTAACTAGCTTTCTGTCGTCCAGACGCAGCAGAGGGGCAAGGCATGGCAGGAAGCTGCATCCACAAGGACAATGTGAGCGAGAACGGATGATACGCACCCTTTGTCGGACCTGGTACATGTTGTTTGTCAGAATGTCCCTCATGGACTCCACATCTTCCGGGGAGAGCCTCTTCACTCCTTGTACCCGCTGGGCCCTGAAACATCATTGGAAGGAAGCCAAACATTATTCTTCCGTCTCAGTAGGAGGTGCCACAAAAATGCCAGAGGGCCTTATCTTGCACTAATGAAACCCAAGATGCCAGAACTCCTGTCTGAATCTCCTGTTTCCAATGGCTTTAGCAAGTTGATCTGAAATGTCAGAACATGTCTTTCAAATTTCAAAATATGATTCTGTTCAGGACCAGCAGACGACATAATGGTTACATCACTGGACTCCCACATAGCAGTTCGAGTTCTGGACCCGGCAGCCCTGGTGGCTTTAATTATGCCAGGCACATGGGCATGCATGCTCAAGACCCTGAGATAAGAATGGAGGAGAAGGGATTGTGGCGTGGCCATCCCCTGTGGGGAGGTAATTTCTTGCTTTCTGTCTCTGTCTCTGTCTCTGTCTCTGTTTTTCCAGGGAGCGCATGTGCCCTATAGCAAAAATCTCTCCAAAAAAAAAAAAAAAGAAAGAAAGAAAAAATAAGATCCTGTTTTATACAGGACACTCATTCTAACCCTTTTTAAAAAGGGTTTAAGGTGGTGACAAACGAGTAAATATTTTTCTCCTAAATCTGTTATGAATCGACAATTTGTAAAATGCAATGAAATCAATTACTTGAAAATGATATAAAACACCACTCAAATAGTCTCCTGCTAAATTCGACAGAGGTGAAGTTATTCAGTCAAAGGTTCCCTCTCTTAGTTCTGTGCTTCTCTCTCTGTGGACAGGTGACGCGTAGGTCACGGACCAACGACAGCTGAGTGCCACGTTTTCCACATCTGTAGTAGCGCTGATCTGAGAGAATACTCGTTTCATGAGTACCTTTATCTTAGAAATGTGGCTGTAAGGATTTCATCTTTGGTTAAAGAATCATTTAACAAACCAGGAGCACATTATACAGGGGAATGAGACCACGCCCACCATGAAAGTCTGCCCAGCTCTGAGACACCGGACACCGCGACCCACCCACTCCCACCCAGAAGGGTTCAAAAACCAGATCATGTCCAAGCGAGCAGTCAATGCACAATTGTCCTCTGCGGATCTGAAAGGCACGACACTGCTATGAGAAGAATTCTCACATGACAACCGTATCTTATTACAATCTAGTGACAACAATTCAAAAAACTTTTTATTACATGAATAATATATAGTCACTGAAAAACGTAAAAGAGAACTAAAGAAAGTTAAACCCTCCTTTAAATGCTATCACATCTTTTTACATCTTGGTATAAGCTTTAATGGGGTTGCTTTGTTTTCTGTTTTCTCTCTCTCTCTCTTTTTTGTAGAAGTTTTTGCCTTAGAGTACATGCACTCAAGGGGGAGGGACAGAAAGAGACTGAGACAGTGAGAGGGAAAATGAGAAATCACCCCCTGAAGGGGTGGCCATGCTATAATTCCTTCTCCTCCATTCTCCTTCCAAGACCTTGGGCATGCATGCACACACACTGGGCATGAGTTTCAAGCAGCTGGGTCTGGGACTCGAACCACGGTTGAACATATGGGAGTCCAGCAATGTACTGCTATGCCCTCTGCTGGCCCCAGTTTTTGTTTTTCCTACCTATAGTTTATTTTTTTTAATTGTATAAGGACACTTGCGGCTTTTTTCTTTCTTTCTTTCTTTCTTTCTTTCTTTCTTTCTTTCTTTCTTTCTTTCTTTCTTTCTTTCTTTCTTTCTTTTTTCTTTTTTTTTTTTTGAGACGTTTTTACTAAAGGGTGCATGCGCTCGCCAGAAGGACAGAGAGACAGAAAGCAAGAAATCACCCCCCAGGTGGGATGGCCATGCTGCAATCCCTTCTCCTCCATTCTCCTCTTGGGATCTTGGGCACGCACACACACGCACCCAGTGTGAGTTTAAGCCACCGGGTCCGGGACTCGAACCATGGTCGACTACGTGGGAGTCCAGCGACTTAGCCATTACGCTTACTGCTGGTCCCAGGACACTAGTAGCTTTAACATATACTTGCATATGATCTTAAAACAATTGATCACAGAGACAAATAATAACTAGTTTCAAGATAAGCCAACTTTCAGTATTTTCTTCCAGACATAAGGCCATAAATAGCAAGAATATTTTGAAAGTAATGCACAGTGGTTAACAGATTTGAAAGGACTTGGAAACTGGGCCTCACAGTCCATTACGATTTTATTCAGCAATGCTGTCTGTAGATTGACCAATGCCCTTTCTACAAAATTATAGAAATCAGTTTCCGTATCTCAGAGCTGTAAATGTCACCTCTGTTGATACTCAGTTACCTCCCTTAGTGACCTAAACACTGCTATCAGAGCATTTCAAACTAATCGTGAAAGCCTTTCAAATAAAGTTTATTCTGCTGTAGATACGCCTACACACTCCCAGGATCTGAGCACCTTCCTTTATTGTGGTGGGTATAATGTATTTCTGAGCAGAAGTAAGAGCTAGCCAAACAACTCCATTTTCTGTGTTCATAATAAACCAACCAACCAACCAACAAATAAACAAACAAACAAAAACTCCTCGCTCCCCCCAAAACAAACAAACAAACAAAAAAACACTGATAAAGGCAACAGTAAAGCAAAATTTGACATGGTAGTCGCTCCAGCTGGGTGTTCTCCCCAGGTTCCAAGACCATTCTGGGGACAGCCAGACCTAGGGAAAGTCCATCCGGGCTGCAGGCCAGTGAGGAATACTGGACCTCAAAGGCACCCCCCCCTCGCCGAGAAGCTGCAGAATCGTACAGAGGCATGATCAACCGGGGCAAGGTGAGACCTGGGCTTCTTCATGCCACCTCACTGGCAAAACCATCTCTGCCATGCTCATACTGCGATCGCAGGAAAGCTACGATCCTTAGAAAAACGGCATTAATAATAAAACTCTCTAGCTTAAAAGATTTGGATTACAAGCTGGATGACTTGTCATTGGAGCATTCATTACATTCTCCATTAAGGGAATCTGTCACCTTAAAAGATCTGCAATAATTTCGCAGATATTAAAATCGAACTGGGAAAAACTGAATCCAAATATATTTGACGGAGAGGTTCCCATGTCAGGTAACTCTTTTTTCGGTCATAAGGGATAATAACGTAAAAATCTGCTCCAGTGATGTTATGAAACCAGGCAGACAATGTATTCATGCCATGGTCTGAATTCTCCAAGAGAAAATGCTATCGTATATTGAATCATTTAGAAGACTCCATCTTCTCGTTAGTATCTTAGATGTGAAGTCCTGGGAAGAACAGTTCAGGCGGCTGAAAGTCTTGCCCACTGCAAACACAGGTGGTACCCCCAGCTGCTCTGGGCACTGCCTTGCTTACTTTCATAGAGGTCACCAAGGTGACCAACGGCTAGGGTGTGTGAAGAGCAGCTGAGAAGATGGTCCTGCACCCCACAACACAATCTTCCATGAGGGAAGTGAACCCTGGCATCAGAACCCACAGCTCAGAGTCTCTCATATAAGAATGCAGGAATACAAATCCATGCCTGTCATGTGTGACCAAATTTAAAAAATTCCAAAATGACAATGAAGTTATTTTATGCTTTTTTCAAAATAAATGTCATGTTAAAATTATTTGGGGATTTAAAAATACAGTAGTTTAATGTATGAATGATAATTTAAGAATTAATTGAAAATAAAAAATACAGTATTTGGAAGTTGCATGGGTGCACTTTGTTTTGCCTGTAACTTTATAAATGAATGTTTTAATGTCCCTTTAATATCAGTCAAAATAAGTTTATTTATTTCTTTGAATAAGCAAGGAAGAGAGAGAGAGAAGAGAGAGAGAGAGAGCTCTCAACAGGGTCTTGACTCCATAATCCACCCCTAGCCTCGCCAGCCCTGAAACATGGGCATGCATGCACACAGCATCGACAGGGAGGTCTCCAGATGTGAATAAAGAACCTTCCCATGTGGGTTAGCCTTGAAGAGTACTGTATTTTACCTCTGCACCACCATGCAGTCCCTAATCAAAATATCTTTTCAAGATTCAACACTTTTAATCAGTTTGAGCCTCTTTGCCTTGATCGTTTCTAACTGGGTACCACTCATTGGTGAGAAGTGCTGCTTCATATTTGACATGATACAGTATCATACATATTCTATCTACTCCAGAGGGTTGTTTCAAGGTTCAGATGCATCATGAATGTAACAGCAGTGGGGTCCATGGACTCAACAGCATCCAGTGAGTGTTACGGACAGCCCTGGCCAGAGCGTTCTCCTGAAGGTCACAGACTGGAAATCTAAACCTTTGTAGAACAATTGCTCAGACTTCTAAAGAAGAAAATATATGTGCATTTTGTTGTTATCATCTCCTACAGAATAATAAAAAGCAGGCTGAGTACACACTTCTTTTTCCTATTATTGTATGAAGGTTTGTTTTTTAAAAAGTTAGCTGCTTTGATCTCGGGAGAGGAATTCCTTTTTGCTTGACGTCCTACAGATTTCTAATTAGATCAAATAAATGCAATTTAAATACTAAACTTGTATTAAATATCAGCTTTAAAAATCCTCCTCTCTTACCCAGTTAACTAACTGGTTTGGGCTATAGGAGGGGGAAACAATTCTCTTGCCAATAAGGCTTTCTTAATAAAACAGAAGAAATGTCCGAAGAGATCTTCGACTCAAGTGGGAGGTCCTCTCCAAATAAAGCTGGTTTTAAATGTGCCTTGAAGTCAGAAATTAGAGTCACTGCTTGTGACCACTGTGATGTAACACAGAGATTCAAAACACACTTTGCCACATGACAGACTGATTCTCATTTGAGATAAGCACCCCTACATTCCTAGACCAAGAGCTCACATAGCTAATGAGCAAGCCCATTGAGGAAGTTCCTAATGGTCTAAACCGCCTGCAGCTGTCCAGCCCTCCGCCACTGCATGGGCTCCAATCATGCTTCAGTGAGCAGGTCAGACACCAGGAGATCGGAGGAGGCTCACCTCTCACATACCCCCATAGTTCCCTGTTCTTTAGGATTACATATATGTGGCCCTTTCCATTAATGTCAAGACCCTACTGGAGAATGGTGTCCATGAGGGCATGGACTGTACCTGTCTTCAAATGCTGGCCACCTTCGAGGTATCTAATGAACAGAGCTGGATCTAAGACACAGACCGTAAGGAGGTGCTAAAAAGCTCGGTAATTAAGTAAGATTTAAATATAATATTTAATAAATAAATACAAGCCTGTACAGGGCTGGCTCTATAGGACACTGGTTAACTCTGTGCACTGGGAGCCAGATCCAATATGGCTGACTGTGGTGAGAATCTCAGCCCCAAGGCATGAAGAACACGCCAGGAGAGTGCGTGAGCATGGCCCAAATCCTGATCAGGTGGAGAAATGGAGGAAGGGGGATTGTGGCTTAACTATGTCCCATGGGGTGGAAGAGGAGTGATTATTCTCTCTCTCTCTCTCTCCAGCAAGTGCAAGTGCCCTGTGGCAATGAAAAAAAAAAAAAGTCAATGCAAAAGTCCTTGATGGAGTCAGCAGGTGGCATGGAGCTGAAGGAGGCTGGATCCCGCATGGTTGATTTCATGGTTTGAGTCCTGGGCCCTGCGATTTAAGAATCATACTGAGCATGTGTGCATGCCCAACATTTTAAGAACAGAATGGAGGAGAAGAGATTGTGATGTGGGTATCTCCCCCGGGGGGGGGGTGATTTATCTCTCTCTCTCTCTCTCTTTTTCTGTCTGTCTCCCTATGAGGAGCACACACACCCTATAGCAAAATTAAACATAAAATCCTGGATGAATAAAATAACAACACTTTAAATATAAATAATATCAGCATGATGGAGTTTTCCTGTTGCCTCAAGCTCTACCACAGCCCAGTGTAACACTGACAATAAATATTTGTTAACACTTTCCATTTTAGTACCGGAACTTTCCTTAAATGCCATGTAATGGCAAGACCAAAACAAATAAACCACAGAAATGGTCTCACTGACAAATAAAACAGAAAGTTTTCTATTTATACTGAGAAACCCTCAAGGATGCTGGTTTAGACTTTTCCAGTTCCTGTGAGAAAGGCAACGGTGTCTCTGACTCATTAGCAGGTAAAGAATGAAGGCGTCACCTGGGAAATAGCACTCAGCACTAGTGACAATTTTATTGCTATCTATTCTTAGCTCTTCTATCAATTTGCTCTTCAAATGTGAGGATGTAGTTGAGGCTCATGATCAAGTGTCTTGACCTGCTGAAGATGACAGGATGGAGGGGGCTGGTGTTCTTATCCTAAATAGATGTTGTGATTAATTTCTCCAACTCATAGAAAACTGTAAGAGGGCAAAAGATTTTGTAACATTGAAAAGACCCCTTAAGTGTCAGAGAGTTAAGTCAGCTTTTTAAACGAAAAAAATCTAATTGGCTCTTGGAACAACTGGTTATCAGATGCTTGACGAGACACACCAGGTTTCAAAGGAAATTATAACAATGGCCGCATAAAGTGGCATTACCCTCCCCTACAGTCCTCTGTTCTCCAGGAAGGCAGGTGACTCCCCCTATTCCAAGCTGGACTTGCAGAGACTCACAGTAAACCTCACGATCTCATACAGACCTTTGCCTTAGACACGTTCACAAGGACAACTTTCTCTTTAAATAGTTCATTAACTACCAGACTCATCCCCAAGTCCCAGACAGTGAGCATCCCAGAAAGCTAACTTGTCTCCTCTCATGTAAGAGTAGAAGAGGAATGACTTATGAGAAGAAACAACGGCAGGAAGGGTAGAATCAAATGAACGGGTCAGGAAGAAAAAAGATAAAGTCTTACAAAATGTTCTGCAATTCTATAAATCTATCTGCCTCTCTTTCTCAGAGAAAGGTCTCATGTACCTAAAGGACACCCCTTTATTTATTTATTTTTTTGTTGTTGTTTTTGAGGGGTTTTTGCTATAGGATGCATGCACTTGCCAGAAAGACAGACAGAGACAGAAGAACAGAAAGCAAGAAAGCACTCCCGAGGGGATTGGCCATGCCACAATCCCTTCTCCATTCTCCTCTTGGGATCTTGGGCATGCACGCACACACACCTGGTGTGAATTTAAGCCACTGAATCTGGGACTTAAACCACAGTCGACAATATGGGAGTCCAGCGACATAGCCATTACACCAACTGCTGGTCCCAGGATGCCCTTTTAAAAAAAAAAAAATTTCCAGACGGTGTGTGCATTCACCAGAGACGAGATGTGGGGTGGGGGGCACCCCAATGACAGGTGGATATGATGCAATCCCTTTCTCCTGCATTTCTCCACCCTATCAGAATCCTGGATACACATGCAAGGCACACAGCGTGTCCTGTGAGCCACTTAGGCTGGGAGTTGAACTGCGTGGTTGGCCACGTGAGATCTGGCTCCCTCAACCATGAGGTCACAGCGCTGGCCCAAGAAGGCATTTCTTGCTGGAAAGAAAGTTTCAGAAACTAAGTGAAGCATTTTGAGTCTGAGTCATGCCATGAAATGCCTAGACATAGATATTTTTTTCATGGTGCCTTCTTCCTACTTCTTTCTGGTCACCCCTAGTATTACCTTTAAATTGAACAATGAAGTTTTCCTGTTGCCTCAAGCTCTACCACAGCCCAGTGTAACACTGACAATAAATATTTGTTAACACTTTCCATTTTAGTACCGGAACTTTCCTTAAATGCCATGTAATGGCAAGACCAAAACAAATAAACCACAGAAATGGTCTCACTGACAAATAAAACAGAAAGTTTTCTATTTATACTGAGAAACCCTCAAGGATGCTGGTTTAGACTTTTCCAGTTCCTGTGAGAAAGGCAACGGTGTCTCTGACTCATTAGCAGGTAAAGAATGAAGGCGTCACCTGGGAAATAGCACTCAGCACTAGTGACAATTTTATTGCTATCTATTCTTAGCTCTTCTATCAATTTGCTCTTCAAATGTGAGGATGTAGTTGAGGCTCATGATCAAGTGTCTTGACCTGCTGAAGATGACAGGATGGAGGGGGCTGGTGTTCTTATCCTAAATAGATGTTGTGATTAATTTCTCCAACTCATAGAAAACTGTAAGAGGGCAAAAGATTTTGTAACATTGAAAAGACCCCTTAAGTGTCAGAGAGTTAAGTCAGCTTTTTAAACGAAAAAAATCTAATTGGCTCTTGGAACAACTGGTTATCAGATGCTTGACGAGACACACCAGGTTTCAAAGGAAATTATAACAATGGCCGCATAAAGTGGCATTACCCTCCCCTACAGTCCTCTGTTCTCCAGGAAGGCAGGTGACTCCCCCTATTCCAAGCTGGACTTGCAGAGACTCACAGTAAACCTCACGATCTCATACAGACCTTTGCCTTAGACACGTTCACAAGGACAACTTTCTCTTTAAATAGTTCATTAACTACCAGACTCATCCCCAAGTCCCAGACAGTGAGCATCCCAGAAAGCTAACTTGTCTCCTCTCATGTAAGAGTAGAAGAGGAATGACTTATGAGAAGAAACAACGGCAGGAAGGGTAGAATCAAATGAACGGGTCAGGAAGAAAAAAGATAAAGTCTTACAAAATGTTCTGCAATTCTATAAATCTATCTGCCTCTCTTTCTCAGAGAAAGGTCTCATGTACCTAAAGGACACCCCTTTATTTATTTATTTTTTTGTTGTTGTTTTTGAGGGGTTTTTGCTATAGGATGCATGCACTTGCCAGAAAGACAGACAGAGACAGAAGAACAGAAAGCAAGAAAGCACTCCCGAGGGGATTGGCCATGCCACAATCCCTTCTCCATTCTCCTCTTGGGATCTTGGGCATGCACGCACACACACCTGGTGTGAATTTAAGCCACTGAATCTGGGACTTAAACCACAGTCGACAATATGGGAGTCCAGCGACATAGCCATTACACCAACTGCTGGTCCCAGGATGCCCTTTTAAAAAAAAAAAAATTTCCAGACGGTGTGTGCATTCACCAGAGACGAGATGTGGGGTGGGGGGCACCCCAATGACAGGTGGATATGATGCAATCCCTTTCTCCTGCATTTCTCCACCCTATCAGAATCCTGGATACACATGCAAGGCACACAGCGTGTCCTGTGAGCCACTTAGGCTGGGAGTTGAACTGCGTGGTTGGCCACGTGAGATCTGGCTCCCTCAACCATGAGGTCACAGCGCTGGCCCAAGAAGGCATTTCTTGCTGGAAAGAAAGTTTCAGAAACTAAGTGAAGCATTTTGAGTCTGAGTCATGCCATGAAATGCCTAGACATAGATATTTTTTTCATGGTGCCTTCTTCCTACTTCTTTCTGGTCACCCCTAGTATTACCTTTAAATTGAACAATGAGGACCAGTAGGTGGCATGGTGGTTAAGGTGCTGGACTCCCACGTGGTCGACTGTGGTTTGAGTCCCAGACCTGGCAGCTTGCCTTCTCACTTTCCTTCTCTCTCTCTGTCTCTTTCTGGCCAAATTAAAACACAACAACAACAACAACAAATTGAATTAAACAAATAAATAATTCTTCAAAGAAAAAAAATTGAACAATGAGTTAATGCCTCTAGGAATCCTAACAGCGAGAGTTTCCATGCAAGTGTGGCCGGGACTTACTGCTGGGGCAGGGAAAAGGCTGTGGAGCTGAGTATCCCCGTCTCCACCATCTCAATCGCTTGCTTCATCTCCAGCTTCTTGTACAGAGAAACGATGCTTGATTTTGGCAAGTTCTTTCGGATCAGGATTTTCCTTAAATACCTATGATCAAACTTCTTAAACCTAAAAATGAAGAAAAAAAAAAAACACAACATTTTGAAGCTCTTTCATCTCTGTATTATGTACGGATGCATGTTTTTCTTAAAACGAAGTACTACTGAACTTTATTCTGAGGAACATCAATATGGTGCCTGGAATTCATAGCATTTGAATATATTCTGCAAAAATCCATGGTATTTGTGCGTTTCTTTTTAAATAAAGAAAGAACGGCCCAGTGGCCTGAATACATTGAAAAATCAACTAAACAAAAGGAATGGACAAGCTGCAATCAGGGCAAAAAAGTATGCATAAGTGGAGTGCGGGGGAGGCCCGGCCCAGCCCTGCTTGTGAGAGGAGAAATGAGGGGGCTGAGGCTTTTGAACAAATGTTCCATTCTAATAGCTCCTAACAGCACAGCTGCTCTTACAGTAATACTGGACTATTCAACTAGAACCCAGGAAGTTTAAAGGCCCAGTAGTTACAGTAGTTTTGCCCCATTATGTTGGAGAGCATTTGAATCCTGCCAATTAACAGGGGAAAAGAAAGAAAGAAAGAAAAAAAAAAAAAGCCCACATACATCCCTACAGCCTGAATGACAGGGACTCTGAATAGGCTAGACACTGAGGGCCCCTGACTGCTGCAGCCAACCTGTGGCCAGCCCATTAGACTGAGCTGCACATATGCGTGCGCCACCTTCGAAGTCAGCTATTCGTCTGGAGTTTAAATTCCCAACGTTTCCAATCATGTTACATTCAAAGGGCAGTTTTTCTACCTGCTTTATTTTCTGGAAGGAATATAACTTCCTGGGCCGCTGGCTTATTGTCTTTTGATTGGTTTTCTGGTCCGTGAGGCATGCAGGTTCTTTGTCAGCTAAGCCACCTCCAGGGTTAGCAGGTTGATTTTCTGTGCGCTGTGATTAGTGCTTGGCTCAGACCAGGCCTACTCTTGCTCCAGCTGGGTCACCCTTCAGCATTCTAGTGTTCTGACCTTCTACATGAGAGGCCACAGTTGCTAATAACTCCTCAGCCATTGGAATCAGCGCCCCAACCTTCACAGTTTCTCTGACGTTCTTCTCACTTAGCTCATCTTGACCAAGTACTTTTCAACCTCAGGAGCTGCCATGGCCCATACCCTGCTGGCTGTCTGGCTGGGTCGTTCTCGCATGCCATCCACATCCTGACTCACCTTTCCTTTTTCCTTATCTACCCCACATAAGCAGAGCAGAATCCTGTCCTCCGTAAGTTTCCCCTTTTTACACTCCTGTAGTGACCTGACACATGCTCACAGCATTAGCAACCAGCTACTCACAGCATAATCTCTCACTCCTTGTGAACTTGAGACTAAATCCAGGAAGAGAATCTGCTCTGAAATGCAAGTATGTTGGCAAAGCAGGACTTTCAAAAAATTATTATGTGGGAAGGATCCTTTCACTGTGGCCTTCCCTACAATGAAGGAATTCTTTCCAGAACCCATTGCATGTCTCAAATTCCCTTTGCAGCTTCATGAAGTCAGTCATTCCATGGATGAGCTACTCTTATCATCGGGAACCTCATCCTTCTTTTAAACTCAACTCTGACTTTTTAAATTTACAACCATCATTCGTCTTTGTTCTCGCTGAGACAATCCAGAGCAAGCCCAATGCTTCCTCTGGCCTCTCTGTTTCCAGGCCTCACATGCCTAAGACCTTCAACTGATTCTTGGTTGGTTCCTCAGCCAGTTATCTTGCTGGTCCCCTTTCTCTAGATTTCTTCTCCTCTCTCAGAGGTTCCCTTGACCAGAAACACCCTCTGTTATAATGAAACCCTCAGCCTCTTACTTGTCTCTCACTTGGTAGTGGCTCCAGTGTCCACAGATGTCTTCAATGCCAGCCTTCAAGTGATCCATCAGCTGCCAAGCCAAACACAAGAAAAGGATTTCTGGTGAAACAGCACGAAGGGAAAAAGAGGAGGCTTTTATTTCCTGGAACATATTTTCTTTTCTATAACTCAGTTCATAGAACTAAAACATACACTGTTTTTATTATAATACAACTTGGTTTCATTACTGAAAGATCTGTAGATAAAGTGCTTGATAATTCACATAATTTGTGACAGAAATAAGTTACTGTTTGAGTAATACTGTTCTAGAATGATCTAGGCAATTTTGTGTTACTTAAATCTGATGGAGGCAAAGCCTAATATCTATTACTTTAAATGTCATTCCAAGAAAAAAGAAAAAAGAATACACAAGTATCTAACTTAATCAGTTTTTCAAAATGTAATTCTATAGTCTTCTTAATAACACAAAATAACAAAACTTACCTATATTCTCCATTACATATCTGATCAATGGATTAGGTATTTAAATTTCCACATCCAAGCCAATTATAATACATTAGTTTTATTCAAAGTTATATACAAGAATTTATAAAAAACACAATCTTACCAACAATTACAGGGATCAACAGGTGGCATAATGGTTACATTGCAGGACTCCCAAATGGCTGACCATAGTTTGAGTCTTGGACCCGGCAGTCTCAAACTCAAGTTGGATACATGTGGGAGCATGCCCAAAATCCCAAGAGGAGAATAGGAGAGAAGGGATTGTGGCATGACCATCCATTTTCTCGCTCTCTGTCTCTCTCTGTCTCCAGTGAGCGCATGTACCCCATAGCAAAATTCTCTTTAAAAAATTACAATTTAGCCTTAAAATAATTCAAATTAGAAGTCACTTAAGTCTCTATAGGTTTTTAATTTTTTTCATAATAAATTAATTATTTTTATATTCTTAAATGATTCACTGTCTTCTACCAATGATTATACTGTTTTTGAGAGAGAGCATAACGAATGAAAACGGAATGAAATACCTAGGTTCCACAGTTCTCAGTATACGGAGAAATTATGTAACTTCTTAAAATAATGAATCAGAGAAGACTGACACAAAAAACCTACAACAAAGTTACAGCATTACAGATTTTTTTTAGAGGTTTTTGCTAAAGGGTGCGTGCACTGCCAGAGAGAGAGAGAGAGAGAGACAGAAAGCGAGAAATCACCCCCAGGGGGGATGGCCACACCGCAATCCCTTCTCCTCCATTCTCCTCTCAGGATCTTGGGCACGCACGCACACACGCCCGGCGTGAGTTTAAGCCACCAGATCCGGGACACGAACCGCGGTCGACTACGTGGGAGTCCAGCGACATAGCTATTAGGCTAACTGCTGGTCCCTGCATTACAGATTTTGAAACACTCCCTATTCTCATCTTTTAAATATTTGTTAAGAGCAATGAAAGAAATTTTGTTTGGACTTCCTGGAACTTAAATTACTTTATTTCGTCAGGTGACTTTGACTATGAAATTTAGGCTGTTTTTATAAGACTTCATCAGTTTCTCCAACACTAGAATTGTGAACTGTCAGGGAGGGAAGAATCCTAAAATATCTGATCCAATTGTCCCCTCGAAGCTTGGCTGTCCGCCACAGTGACTATGACCAGTGCCCCAAACACTGCTCGGACATATTTATTTCTCCTTGATGTGCCAATCAGTAAACAGTGATTGGGATGACTTTTTTGTAACTGGGCTGAAGTCTTTCTCCTGGATCTCCCATATAGTCTAGTTTCTACTCCTTGGAAATATACAGAATGGTATTCCATCAATATTGTGTTGAACTTAAAAGGTAGAGACCATGTTCAACTTTTGTTTAAGAATTGTTTTATTGGGAACCAGCAGTTAGCGTAATGGCTATGTCGCTGGGCTCCCACGTAGTTGACCGCGGTTCGAGTCCCGGACCTGGTGTCTTAGAACTCACGCCGGGCACGTGTGCGTGTGTGTCCAAGATCCCGAGAGGAGAATGGAGGAGAAAGGATTGCGGTGTGATCATTCCCTCTAGGGGGTGATTTCTCGCTTTCTGTCTCTATGTCTCTCTCTGTCTGTCTGGCGAGCGCACGCGCCCTATGGCAAAAACCTCTCCCCCCCAA